TAAAGTGGTTTCATATGCATTGATGTGAGCATTCACAGTGCAATGATCAATACCAACAAGACCCTAGACTTTTAGATGCCCAAAATGCCTCAGGTTCACTGCATCTCTGTTGTTTTTTGTAATTTGATTAAATGCAAACTTCTATGACTTCTGCACCACTTATACCAACAAAGGTTAGTCCAGCATTTAAGCTATTATTTGGTTGCTTCTAATAGCGGGCCTGTCTCTAAACCTTTGTTGATTAGAAAACCTGGGGCCAGTTTGTATGATTTGTGCACAGGAGTGCCAGATAATTTCTGGGTCGAGTAAAATGATGTTGGCATCTACAGTCTATTGTGAGAGCTGGGGATATGTTCAAAGGATGTATGCACGGTTCACAGAGGATGGAAATGAGTGGTCAACAGGAGCCCAACAGAACATGTGCACCATGGGGCCCTACAGGGATAATCTGGCCATGGTCTGACAGTGCCCTCTTTCAAATCAGTTTATACCATGTTGACATAATCCTCAATATTGCAAAATTTCCCTTTGTCCATTTTGACAATTCAACTATACTAGTTTATCTTTCTGTCCTTGAGTTTTGATGCATTTTTTCCTTTGGGGGTATTTTGTATTCTAGTTGTGCAGCTTCACAGACATGCAAATTATCAAGAGCTGTTACGTTTGAGCTCATTCCTGCCCTGAGGGGATGTGGTTCAAGAAGATGCAATAAAAGCTGGAACCAGATGTTTCCTTATGAACTCTATTGTGTACAAAAGTACTCCAAAATAAAAAGATGCTTATGGCAACAGTCAAGGTTGCACCCACAAAAAAAAAAAAAAAATCAGTACGAACATGATGCATAGACCAGTCAGATGCTTGTTAATGTCTGTTAAAGGGTCACAATTTGTGAAAACATGAAATCCCCTCCCACAGTCGGGCAACATTCATCGTGCATTTCAATGGAGAGTAGAATGTTCAAATGGAAAATCAAGAATCCCTCTGCTAGATTCATGTGTGAAACTCAAACTCTCTGGGTTAGAGACCTTCTTGATCCCCACTAAAGAAAAGGCAGAGATGGAACACTTGGCTTCTCTACAGTGGAGGACAGTATTTCTGACAGCTACTCTCTTAATGACTCCACTTGCTCTGCGATTTGGCCTTTAAAGGATCTTCCACAGGACAAAAATCGTATTGAAAGAAAAACAGCGAAGTGTCTTTTAGACTTGTTGAAGGCCACCTTTAACTTTCCATTGACGGCACTTCTTACAAGCTTCAGCAAAAATAAATTTCTAGATTTTTTCGTTATTTAAATTTTTTAAAACATTTTACTTTGAGTCATTGGCATGAGGAATCAAACATGCTTATATTCTTACAATGCATTGTGTGCATTGTATACTCAGTATGTGGCTGCTGATGATGACATTGGCAGTATAATAGTTACAGTATGAGACTCGGAGTCTAACGTTTAGAATGAAACTCAGTCCATTAGAGTAGCCTGATCACACTGCAGCCGTCAACACCAAGAACTGATCAATTTTACCTGTACAATAATGTGACTTATATTCTGTAAAGTTGCATCATGTTGTCGTTGTTGTGTTAGTGTAGTGCATCACTTTGTAACTGCTTCTGTACCCTCTGACTCTGGTATGTACTGTGACTCAGTGAAATTGAATGATTAAACTGCTGCTAGAATAATGGGTATATTAGACCTATACTAGACCTCAAAAAATGCTAATATCTCAACCATATATGAACCAGTTTGAATAATAACCAACGTGCAAGCACTTTTCCATCTCTTCCAACAGCGGCAGCAAATTCTAAAACATTTTTAATCCAGTGACATTGCTGGAAAGTAAGTAAGTTAAAGTAGCTGAAAACTTGCCTGACAAGGTTTTTTGGGGATTATGACCCAACTTGGATTTGAATGGTATCCACTCTTGAAGGAATACTAATATGTTGACACTATTATCCATCAAAGTTAGCTCCGGTAATTGTGCCATTTATCCATTTAAAAATGTTGCGACTTTAATAATGTTACAACTCTAAAGACTCAGTGGTTTAATGCATTCTCTCAGTTTCAAGGTTAGATTCAAGTTGTCTAAATGGGTCAACTTGGTGGGGAAGTGTTCGAGTTACACTTTTTCACAATCAAATGTGTTCTCTTGCTGGGATATGTGCTGTTGGGTTTCAGCGGGGAGTCTTCCCTCAGCCCTCTATAAATAGACAGAGGCAGCATCAGGAGGTGCAACTGCCATTTCACATCTGACCCCACAATATCCAGCTGTGATGATGTGACCACCAGGAGGTGTTTTGTGATTTGATATCTGAGCAACAGTGGGGCTAGGCCGAGCAGTCTCAGGCTACATCCACACTATCCTTGTTTCATAAATTAACAAAACTGAGATCCAGACAAACATTTTAGCTAGACATCAGACATATTCTCTACCCACACTAACGCACCTGAAAATGCATTTCACATGACCATTCACTTACGCAGGGTGTGTGTGTGCACTGGTGTTAACAATACACAAATTCTGTACTCTGCAACTGGAGAAAAGAAGGAGTAGATTTATAAGTTCTAATCAGGAAACATGTACAGTATATGCCATCGTCTCTTTTTGAAAAGTCTCTGTTTTGGCACATGTTGCATCTACTAATAGAGTGTGGATACCTGTGGATGTAGCCTTGACCTGAAAATAGATATCAATCACATGGAAAAACTAACTTTCTGGCATTTTGTGAAGCAATGTGTGGAAGATATAAAGGCTCAGGATGAACAAAGGATGAACCTCAGTTTCAATGACAGACAACACAGCCCCCCACCCCCTTCTTGTTTTAACTCTTTGGGATGTAAGCATGGCTCATGTATACAAATGCCAATGGCAGCCAGTTGTATGGCTTTTCTATGAATTACATTATTGATTCCCAATACTGCTCAGAACAGAAAATGTAATTATGCACGGACCCACCCAACCCCCACCCCCCCTTCCTTGCCGAATGGATGTTCTTCTGTCGCTGCCTCCCTTTTTTCTTGTCTTTCACTTGGTGGCTTTGCATCAATTTGTCTTTTGCTCTTGCCTTTAGTGACCCTCCCCCCCCGAATGCACTCACACACATGCACACGTACCCATCTCCACCCCGCCCACCCCCTCACTTGACCTCTCTAAAGCCTCTAAGTGTGTTGTCCTTCACTCATGTCATGTTAGCAAAGGCTTTCTGCAATTGCTCTGCAGCAGCATAAACAGTTACATTACCATGTGAGCAAGTGTTGTCTCTTATACACAGGTGATCTTGGGCACATAAGTGCACATCCAGCGTGTGAAATGTCTCCCATGTTGGAAAAATGTCAACACACAGTGCACTTAGCTGATATTTGATGAACGCCTCTTATACAATACAGTCCTCCAAGTCTGTGCAAGCAGCTTATTTTTTATTTTTTTATTCCAGGCGACCCATAATAATAATGACAGTTATGAGATCTTCTAACCTTTAGGAAGTTATTATTTTCAGCCAAAAATCTTTTTCGAAACCCAATCATGAAGTTTTTGTATCAAATCTCATCATCTCTGATATTATAAAAAGTCTGGTTCACTTGTCGCTGGTAAATGATTGTTAGGATTAAAGACTCAGCACTTTGTGGTTTTGTTTCCGATTCCTAGTTTCCTGTTGTGTTTGCGTGTCCTTATTTGGTTTCCGATCCTGGCTGTGTGCTGCTAGCTGATCACGGCTTCGAGGTTCCTGTTCTCTCGCCGATCCTCCTCCATACCTGAGCATCATCACCTGTGTAAGGACCGGTTCTCCTCTGTAAATTCATTGTTTACCTTCGTGGTAAAAAAAAAAAAAAAAAAAAGCTTTGGATGTCCTCTCTGCCTTTGTTGTGTCCTGAAGATGTGTGACTTGCCTCTCTACCTGAACGTTAACCTTTGTTTTTGTGCTCAGGATCATCTATCTGCCCTGCCATGCCTGTCACTCTCAGCCAGCCGCCAATGCCACATGTTCATGTTTGGACACCTGCTCGCCTCTTTGTCAGCACATTTTCTAAACTGGAAACTGGAGTAGATGGAGAGTCTGACCTACTGGAACTCAAACCATGCACCGTTGCTCTGTGTTCTGCCTATAGAGTCCAATCCTTAACTCAAGACTTTACCTCCAAGAATTGTTTTATTTCTTAAGTTCCTTTGTTTTGCTTGATATATCATTTTGTCATCTTGACGAAAATGATGTAAGGTGGATTATTTTCTATTTTATGTATTTATTCACATTGCAATATATCCATTTGTCCTTCTCTTTACCTTCATTCTGTTTTTATTCCACTCAGAACCCCAGGGAACCCCTAACCCCCTCTCCAACCTTCCATCTCAATCTAATCTTGGTCGTGGCCATTCGGACGTGTCCAGCTATTTAGCAGGCTTTATTTATCCTGAGCCAACGCCCCATTAAGGCGAGTGGACAGAATCTATCTCAGGGAGGGGGGAGCTCTCCTATGGGATCCTACCACAAGAACAACAATGTTTAAGTCAGTGACAGCAAGAGGTGGTGGGCAGATTGAAAGCAGAGGTGAAGGACACTGAAGGAGATGAGGAAGG